AGGATCTCAATTGCTTTAAGAGATCCTGAACTATTCACCACTGTGATTTTATTTTAAATACTAAAATCATCACCAAGAAGTATATCCAAGGGCTGATGGATTCATGGGTCTGTTGCCTACTTTCTAGCTGTCCCATGAGTGCTGCATAACAAAACCTCATGACTCCATCAGCCGCTTAAATTCTCATGTGGAGGTGCTTAATATTTCATTTCAGAAAGCCACATGTCACTTTTTGTTTTAAATTTCTGTATTCAACAACATGAAGGAGAATGTTTGTTTGCTCTCACTACTTTGAGTAGATTAAGTGAAACCGCATACTCTCTATTGCGAATTACATTTTAATGGCATCCTTTAGGGTTAGCTTTGTGGTTAATAATAGTTCTTAGAATCAATTTTAAAACTAGAAAATGAGATGAAGTGGAAATACAGTTGAAATAGACTTAAAGGAACAGGTATCAAAGGAAGTGGGGATGGTTGCTGTATTGTTTACCTGGAGAGAGACCTATTTAGCTCTCTCCCTCCACGCAATTGCTAGAGATAATAAAGTATCTGACTTGCTGCACCCAACCCGAGAGTGAGAACTCTGGTTTTTCTCCGACAGAAAGTAAATAAGATAGAAATGGACTTTGGACGCTTCACATAATACTATAACTTTTACATTTTGTTTAAAGTTGCTCTGTATGAGAGTGAAGTCCAGGAGCTGTATCAAAGTTTCAATTCAGGCTAGTGGAGACACTGGTCGTCGTAGAATAATGCCTTCTGCCATGCTTGGTATAAGCTCCCTCTTTGCCAGTATGGCTTAACTTCTATGGGTGAGAGCCTCACTCCCCCTGTGGCTTCTTTATACTATGTAAAAGGGCTGGAGCAGTGTAAAGGGTCCATAAAAGCCCTCTATCTGGCCAGGGAATGACTTCCCCAGCACAGGAACTGTGGAAGGCAGCTGTAATGTGACATTCTGTCTTATCTCGATCATTACCTGTGCCTGTTCATATGGCTATTATGGGTACTAGGAGGACAGAGCTAAAGCCTATGGACAGCATTTTTTTCCCCTTCATCTCAGGGTAATTTTATGGCAGATTATTCAGGGCTGGAAAACATGATTGGTTAGTTTGACTATAGTCAGTACTGGCATATTTTTTGAAGTGTTAAATGTGTCTTTGTAGAATAATTTGAGTCACAGGAATTGAAAGGTGCCAGACCAACTGCAGTTAATTATGCTGTGCTTCTCAAATACTGCCAAATTTCAGGTTGCAAATGGGCCAAGAGTGGAACTGGTCACACCTTTCAGCCTGGAGAAGTCAGTCATCTGATTACGTGGCAAGATGGCCGCTGCAGCAGCAGTTTCCTCTCTTCTCTTCCTCAACCACAGTCACATCTCAGCTTGGCTACAGGATTTGGATGTACCACAATCTACTGGTATTTGAAGAACAGGTAGAAGCCTGTGACTTCAGCTGTATTCATTAGATTTTCTGTATCATGCCGTTTCATTAGCAGTTTCTTGGCTGGAATTTAAGCCACAGTCAGTGTTCTTGTAGAAGGTTAATACTGGCTCACGGTCTGCAGCTGTATATTTCTTCCTATCCATCATAATGCACTAGCAGGAGGAGACTTGTGAGATGAAGCAGAACTTCCCTTTAATCATAATATTAATTAAATGGCTGAAGATTATTTCAAATGGAAGTATTAAACATTAACCATATACAACTGAGTTTGATATTCTCTCATCCTTCTAATAAAAAATACCACAGAACACTTAACAAGAAAAGAAACACCTCTGGTTATACATGAACGGAAACATCATCAGTTAATATAGTTTGAACCCTATAGTTGTGCCTTAAGCATAGTTCCTATATATACTTATGAAAATCTAAAATATGTTGGGGGAGTTGTTTTGAGCCAATTCCTGCAATGTACTAAGAGAATTGGGCCCTACATTAGCTGCTGTTCCCTTCCCTCTTAGGCACTAAAGAGTCCTACCAAGCCTCTGATGAGGTTTTATTCATAATCTGCTGGGTTGTCACATGCTTTGCATGGGACACAGTTTTTAACTTACAATTTGCCTTCAGCCATAGCAGGGTGTGGAATCCACAAAACCTTTGCGTAGATTCTGAAACCATTTCAGCTTCAATAAGCTATTACATTTCCCAAAGTGTCACTGTCTTCCACGTCAAGTAGGAGTTCAGTTTTGCTAAAAGGAATAAAAGACTCTTGATCTTGCATTCCTCCTGAAGTTTGTTTAGATGGTATCTGGAATGTGGTTGATCTCTCCACACTCATTTTTATACTGTTATTTTCATCCTTGGTACTTTTGCTTTAATACATATATTGAGCACCCTAATTCAACTGGATGGAATTAAGATTTTTTTCAGATGTTCCAAAGCTGAGAGCAGGACATCTCTGTGCAAGTATGCTGCTGTTTCTCTCTTTATAACAGGCTTTGCAGCTGTGTACTTTGCCACAAAGAACTTGTGTATTAAAACTGTTTCCCCCATCTCCCCGTAGGAGTGAGTATTGTGCATGGTAACACACCATAAATCCAATTGCATGGAAAAACTAGGACTTGATCACTGAGGCAGTCTTTATAGTTGGTTCTGTGCAATTTTGATTGTGAGATTCTGCGTGTTTCTAAAGTTCTCTGGAGTGATAGAAGCAATCTTGTCTTTTATAAAGGATGCAGTTACTGATGGGACAGAGTTAATGTAATATTTGACTAATATTAAGGACCCTTAGGAGTTACTCCTCATTGTCTTTACTTAATATTGCTCTGCATCATTTGACTTTCGTGGCGCTATTTGTTTCCTTTTATACACAGCAAGGAATTCAGTAATACTCCTCTGCAACAGTGTAATGAAGTTTTATTGCAAAGTAACAATTCACTGAAGAACATTAGACACACATTTCAATGTTTTCTATTTTTCTTCAATAAGCAGCTTTTTTGTTTTTCCTCAGACACTCACTGTTGAATCATTTTTACAGTAAACCTCAAGTAGCCTATTCAGAATGTTTGGAAAAGATCTAATTGTATTATTGGCCTCAAAACCAGGTGCTAATGGAGTAACTGCGGTGTTGGAGGTAGATGCTAGAGATAGTTGAAATTTTTTCTTGAAATTTGTTTTTTTATCAACAAAGAATGCTGTGTTTTTGTTTTTATATCAAAACAAATGTTTGCAGAGAAATGTCTAATTTCTACTAAATTTTGAGTTGCCAAAAATGATTTTTTTCCTTAATTCGGATTTTTGGTTTTTCTATAAAAACCAAAAAGTTTTGAAGAAAGTTTTTGATAAAAACAATTTTTGTAGTCAAATTTTTTTTGTGGGGAGAAAAAATGTTTCCTAACCAGCTCTAGTGGAGCTCTTGTTTTCTAAGGATTTCTCTCACTCAATTATTAACATATGTTTCCAGACAGTTTCTTTTGTCATGTGTTTCCGGTTTTGTCCTGAATATCAACTACAAATGGAAACTGTTAGCAAGTGGATGTTTAACAAAGCAGCTGTTGTTTTGTTGTTGTTTAAATAGCCCAGATTTTCTGAAGCCTTATGATGCAGCTGGTACCATCCACGACTACGTGGTTGCCATGTTGTGTGACCTGGAAAGGCCACTGATGTCCGTCCAGAATGCTGCCAGCTGGGGATATTTTAATTGCAGAAGTAAAAGCTGGAATACTGAGATGTAAGTGACAGTCATCCAGTGGATTTTATTTATTGTCTGTCCCAGATGATGTGAATACTCCTCCCAGGCAGGGGGTGGTTGAAACCTGCTCCCTCTGATGGTTGTTTGGCCCTTTGCTAAATGAGTCTGTGTGACTCACTCCAGTTTGTGGTGGGCAAGTACATCACATAAAACCTCATCACTGTTGGCCATCACTGGCATTGTCATTTTTAGAAACCCTAAGAGAAGGCATTACTGACTGACTCAGCAAAGAGGCTATGGATACTGAATTATTTGCTTCCTTCCTGCCAGGGTTCTTTCTAGGGCATGGATGAGGTACAGTGGTGGGACAGAGTGGGTCAACTGTCCATGCTATATCTACATGCTGGTTAAAGAGAATTTCACTCTTCAGTGCCTTCAGCTGAGCTCTTTCATAAGCATTAAAATTCACTTAGTGTCATTTAAAAGGTGTCAGGCTACCGGGCATTTGATGAGACCTCAGTTTTATTCTTTTTTTTTTTTTTTTTTTTTTTTTAAATTTGACTTGCTCTTTCAGGGGGTGGAGTCCAGGGCCCTATACATTTCAGGGATCAGTTTGGGCCACGACTCCAGAGTGAAAAGATCTTCTAACAGTGAAGGTAAAATACTTTCTAGCCCATTGAAAGGGTAACAGAAGCTTGGATTTGTCTCACTGAGCTTTTTCTGACTTGAAGTAGTGGTTGTAGTCAAGTAGCCTATACTCACATTGAAGTTTGTTTGTTGTAGCTAGCATTTGCTCTTTTGTTTTTGACCTGCTAACCCTCTGCATGAGAGTTTCCTGGAAGCCAGTGTTCTTTAGCACTTGAAAATTGGTTATATGTCTGTTCTTTTGATTGTCCCTTACCATACTGCTTGGCTATGTGACTTTGGTGGTTTGAACACGTGATCCCTGCTAGATCAAATCAAGGATAAATGTAGGGGGATTTATTTACTCTTCTGGGCTATTCTGTACAAAACTGTTTTAGTTTTTAGCCAATGGAACTGGAAGTCTGAACTTGTCCAAGGCAGAGCTAATTGAGTGGGCAAAAGATTCTGTAAACCCAGCAGCCACAAGCACATGGTCAGGTTAGCCTGTGACCTCAGGGATGTTCACATAGCCAGGTTGCATGCTGTAGTATTGACTTATCTATCTATATATAATTTTTTTTTGGTTGCAGTTTGAGAGAATCTGGCTTTCCTCTTGACTTGCTTCCTGAAGTGGGTGACCCTGGTGACATTGCAGGGAGGATGTCCCATGACTGGCATGGAATACCAAAGGGAACGGAAGTGGGAATTGCTCTGGGAGATTTCCAGTGCTCTGTTTATTCTTGTATGACTGAGAGGACTGATGCAGGTATTATTATACAGCTGGGACACAACAACTACAGTTGTTACGAACACTTCAGGAATGGAGGTTGTTCATAACTGAACAAAACATGGTTGTTCTTTCAAAAGTTTACGACTGATCATTGACTTAATACAGCTTTGAAACTTTACTCTGCAGAAGAAAAATGATACTTTTAACCATCTTAATTTGAATGAAACAAGCACAGAAACAGGTTCCTTGCCTTGTGAAATCTTTTTTTAAACTTTGCCTTTATTTTTATTTTTAGTAGTTCAGGTTTATCACAGTACTGTACTTGCTCTCTTTTTTTTTTTTGGTCTGGTTCGAAATGAAGCATGTGGTTACCTGGTCAGTTTATATCTCTGCTGTTTGTAACGCTGAGGTTCTACTGTAAGACCTTTCAATAGGTCTGAGTACCATTTTCCTAGTCTGTGAAAGGACTAATAAAGTTTTTCCATTAATACCATAACACTCTTTTTTGCCTGACTGTTGTTCCTAGCTCGGTATTTATATTGTGCTCAGCACGACAGTATGTGGATAACTTATTTTCCTCTTTCAAGGTAGCTTGTTAAAAGATTAAATCTTTTCTTTCTTGTGTTGTAGTTCTCAATATCAGCACCTCTGCTCAGCTGACAGTCCCCATGCCCTTGGGATTCCAGCCTCCAGAGACACCAGATTCCTTGTCAGCTGTTGCCTGTTTTCCTTATTTTGATGGTAACTATCTGGCAGTGGCAGCATCACTCAACGGAGGAAATGTGCTGGCAACATTTGTGGATATGTTGGCACGCTGGATGGCGGAGTTGGGTAAAGTATTTTGGGGACAGACAAGGCTTAATATGGGAGTTGGTCAGCAAGATATGAGGGACTGAGTCAAAGCAGCGAGTCTTGTACAGCAGTGGTTTTCAACCTGTGGTCTGCACCTCCATTCAGAATTTTCTAGTGGTCTGTAAATGAAATAAGGTTGAAAACCATAGTTGTACAGTATGTGTCATGTGTATCAGAAATCATGTAGCATGTGATTCGTTCCCACTGTAGCGCTAGAATTTCCTACAACAATTAGGGGACACGCTGAGAACAACACTAACAGGAGCCTGCATTTGGATTGTGTCTGGGTTTTGTTTTTGTTTTTTTGTTTCAAGCACTTGAGTGAGTGAGAATATCTTTGTGGGTTCCATTTCAGAAGGAAACATTTTCAAAGGAAAAATTATAGGTCAATAAATCAGAAGTGAATCACTAATTTCCATGTTCATAGAGACTAGAAAGAGTGACTTGATTATGTTAATTGCCTTGAATTGCAGTTTTCACAGAACTTTAAATGCTTAATGGACTTTAAAGAGCCAGATTTAGTGCAGTATCATAAAAAACAATCATGTCATTTCCCCCAAGTGCTTTAAAATGTGATGTCACAACTTCTTTGATATCCTTCCCTTGAGTTGTCTCAGTGCAACAGTAAATTCTAAAATCCTTCCAACCAATGTTTGTGACCTTTGCACTGTCAGCATAGAAGGTGGATATGATTGCCCCTATTAAGAAAAGGTCACTAGTTGGTTAGTTTCCAAACATGCAAGATTACCTTTACTGTTGCTTTTTCATTTTAATTGAGCCAATAGCTAATGTTTCAGAGAAAACTGTTCCATTACCAGAACTGCAGTGTTTATAATCAGAAAAGACTTCTTGGATCAAAATACTTTGGATGAGGAGTTCGTATTCCTGCAAAAGTGATCTCCTTAGGGACAGGAGAAGCCAAATACACAGTGTTCTGTTGAGCCAGCATACACCACTGAAACAGCCCACGGCATCATTAGCATACTTTAAGTCTCCAGCATTCATCTCTGACAGGTGAAAGGGACACCAGGCTGACAAAATTAGTAACACCATTTCCTTTTGACAGGGTATGAAGTTCTAGAGTCCAATGTCTATACACAAATGATCAACGCAGCCTTGGCCCAAAATGATACCAGACTCTCAATCTGCCCAACTGTATTTGGAGAAAGGCACATGCCTGAGCAACTGGCTTCAGTGACTAGTATCACTGCTTCTGATCTCTCTCTGGGTCACGTAACCAGAGCTTTGTGCCATGGGATCATTCAGAATCTGCATTCCATGTTGCCATTGCAACACCTGAAAGAGGCAGGAGTGAAGAGAATTCTGGGAAGTGGAAGTGCCCTTTCCAAGAATGAGGTGCTGAAGCAAGAAGTGGAGAAAATTTTTCCATTTCCTGTGATCTATGGAAAGGATGTGGATGCAGCCGTGGGTGCTGCAATGGTGATGCTGCACAGAAGATAAATCCATAGTTCAGGATTGTCCGATATAAAGTTGTTGTTTTTTTCTGGACATATCAACACTTCCTTTCTGTTTCCTCAACGTTCCTGATGTTGCTTTTAATCTACCATCCCACTCCGTATGGAGAAGAACAGCTTGCATTAATGTCCCTCTCTGGTTCCAAATGTACTCAGGGTCCTGCTTGCCCTTACGTTGTCATTCCTAATTGTGCATCGAGAACTAATTATCACATGAAATTTGGCTGCATGAAGGGAAAAGATCCATTAAGTTTGGGTTGAAGATAATACTTCATCATAGGCTCATTTTCCTGTTAGGAAAGAAGCCTGGGATGGCTAAGACGAGCCAGTGTCTGTTGGTAATGGCATCTGTAGCCTTTGTTAGAGATGTTTTGTGGTTAAACTATCTCTTTCCATATATATGTGCTACACGATGGGGCCTAAAAGTGCTACTGTAATACAAATAAAATAATAATTTACCATATCTTATACACTGAAGAGTCTCTCTCTCTCTCTCTCTCTCTCTCTCTCTCTCTCTCAAGGGCTGAGCACCTTTTTGTCTCTTAAGTAACAGTAAAATGTTAGGGAAGGTTATAGGATCAGTGAAGTACATTGCTGCTGATCCAAGTTAGATTCATGACTAGCTCGTATAATGACTTTTATAAACATCAGTGCTCACGCTTCAGAGTGCAGATTGGTTACCAGCTGGGGGTCAGGAAGGTATTTCTCTCATGTTTTAATGCACAATTATTTACAGTAGTGTGTGTGGAGTGGAGCTTCCCCTGAAGAATTCAGCGTTAGCAGGATATTTGACTAGATGGTTCATTGGGCTTTTCTTTTGTTCTACAAAAGTTATAGTAACGCTCCTGATAGATCCATTCCCCTCTCTTCTTATCATAGTTGTTGCCAGGGAGAGGTGAAATGTGCTCACGTGTGTCAGCCCAAGAACGTCCTTTCCGTTTTTCTTGATACGTTCTATTTTAAGGAGTTTATAACTCTCTGCCTTTTATATATTGGAAGGAACTAAGCCTTGGCATAGCAACTTGCAGGCTGGATTAAAATCTTTTTTCAGTTTTGAGCATTGTTCATGTGAACTTTCCATAAGTCTCTGGGTTTCTATCCCATGTGCCATGGTCCTAAAGCACCCCACTGATCATTGTACACTCTCTCCTTTATTTTAAGGTAAAAGCATTTGTATTTTATTTCATCATCCAGGAGAAGTTGGACATGCATTTCGTTACTTGAAAGAGAGGGAAGTAAATAAAGTGGTTTCATATTATCTGGGTACAATTTTATTAACTAGAAGCATCTGTTTTAACTGAAATTTGGACCTGCATATCCATCTTGTTCATTAGCAGCATTGGGACTGACTCATATTGTCTTAATGAGAAATCTGCTTCCTATCCCAGAGCTCTAAATCCACAGACTTTAATTAAAGTGATGGATTAATCCCCTGCCTCCTCATGACCATTCTTTTCCATGTGGTGGGTAAAGAGCCATTGGCGTGATCAGGAAACACAGACAAAGTGTAGAACATAAGAACGGCCATACTGGGTCAGACCAAATGTCCATCTAGCTCAGTATCCTGTCTTCTGACAGTGGCCATTGCCTAGTGCCCCAGAGCGAATGAACAGAACAGGTAATCATCAAGTGATCCATCCCCTGTCGCCCACTCCCAGCTTCTGGCAAACAGGGGCTAGGGACACCATCCCTGTCCATCCTGGCTAATAGCCATTGATGGACCTATCTTCCATGAACTTATCTAGTTCTTTTTTGAACCCTGTTATAGTCTTGGCCTTCACAACACCCCCTGGCAAGGAGTTCCACAGGTTGACTGTGCATTGTGTGAAATAATACTTCCGTTTGTTTGTTTTAAATCTGCTGCCTATTCATTTCACTTGGTGGCCTCTAGTTCTTGTGTTATGAATAGTTGAAGGTTATGGTAAAAGACCCTATTTTGTAGCACTTTGTTTTAATTTGGCTAGTTATATTGTATTTGTGCATCAGCAGATCTTCCCTTTTATGAATGATACTGCCAGGAGCCAATAACATTTTCCCCTTCAAAAACTAGGTCTTTGCAGCTGCCGCTTATTAATCCTTGAATCCAGCTGAGCCAGTTTCAGGGAGCTGGTAAAATCTGGAATATGGTTCATTACTGTGCTTCATCGAGACAAGAATTTCCCTGATTAATAGAGTCATAGACTTTAAAGTCAGAAGGGATCTTCATGATCATCTAGTCTGACCTCCTGCACATTGCAGGCCACAGAACCTCACCTCTCCACTCCTATCATAGACCCATAACCTCTGGCTGAGTTACTGAAGTCCTCAAATCATGATTTAAAGATCTCAAGTTACAGAGAATCCACCATTTACCCTAGTTTAAACCTGCAAGTGACCCATGCCCTATGCTACAGAGGAAGGCAAACCCCCCCCCAAGGTCTCTGCCAATCTGACCTGCAGGAAAATTCCATCCTGCTCCAAATATGGTGATTAGATAGACCCTGAGCATGTGGGCAAGACCCACCAGTCAGACATCTGGGCAAGAATTCTCTGTAGTAACTCAGAGTCCTCCCCATCTACTGTCCCATCACCAGCTGTGTTTGTTAACACTCCTAGCATATCTCTTGTCACTTCTGTCTTCTTTTGCCACCTGATGAGAAAGGATGTGTGCAGAGTTTACTCAAGACCTAGGCACCATTTAAGCCTCAGATGTATGTAGGACCCATTGCACAGGGGTAAATTTCACCGTTTTATTATTTATATGCTGCCGCAAGTTGACTGATCACATCCAAACCAGGTCCTGGCCCAGTCTAATACAAACAAACACAGTATTTAGGACAACGGTTGAGGCATGGGAAGGTGCAGAGACCTTAGTAGGTGAGGCAAGAGCAGGACAGTAGCATCTTCACGAGAAAAGGAGATCAGATTGGGAGGGGAGGCCCTTGATGCACAGGAGATGGGAGGATGTTCCAAAAGTGTCCATCCATGGGTGGGAAGGGTCAGAGAAAGTCTGAAGCCAGGAATGGGAGATGGAGACAAAAGAAGCACTTAGCAAAAAGAGATGGAGAAAAGCCTAGGAAGCGAGATGGGGCATGAGAGACATGATCACAGCGCCTCAGGGGTGTCGTCTTTTTTTGAAGTAAAAGGCAGTAATAGGGATGATTGAATTATGACTCTGAAAATCTAGCTACTGCAGCTGAAGCACTTAACTCTCCTTCCTCATAGTTCTGAAAAGCTGGATGTGATTATCTTAGTGGATAGTCCAGCATAATGAGGTTTACTGGATGTTTCACTGTGCATTGTAATTCTGTTGTGTTGCTGAGACTGACTGCTGTCATGACTCACAGCAATGTGCAGAGCGATGATGCGAGAGGAAATATGGCCCTGTGGTGGGGGCACTATGGTGGGACTTGGGACCTATGTTCAAGTCCCTGC